TAATAATTTGGTCCCTCAATCAACGACTGTTTGTGGGACGCTGCTGTGCGAAATTGGCTGCCACGTTTCGTCCACAAAATACACAGTCAATTTATTTTGTAGTATATTCTGTGATAAGGTGCTGTATCAAAAGCAAAGATTATTATTACAAACTAAAGCAACAGGGGAGTGGGAACTGACTTTTTAACTGCTCACACAGAATCAGCACATGCCTAATGCGATTAAATACATAGCATAGTCGCGCTCAGTTATTGAACCTTCCTGTAATTATATTTTACGCTGCAGTTATTCAATGAACTGACTAATCAACTGCAATAATCAATAAACTTGATGGCACGCTCCTAAATCATAAGCTCTTAAGAACTGACCGTTTCCAAATAGGTCTCCGTGGGCTCACTTACAATTACACCGGTCCAGCCCAAACATCCCGAGAGCAAAGAGGATCGAAACAGGCAAAAAATCAAGTCATCCAGTCCAGTAAGTGGCTGTCATCCTGGCTCAGTTAATAGACGTCTCAAAGCGCTTCACAGAATAATAATAATAATAATAATCCTTGCATTTGATATAGCGCTTTTCACGTCGGGAGGACGTCCCAAAGCGCTTCACAGAACACACTGTAAAGTGAACTGACTGTATATTTGTGGGCTAAACGCGGCAGCCAATTGCACACAGCAGCGTCCCCACAAACAGTCGCAGATTAAGTGTCCAAATAATTGTTATTTTTTGTGGGGGGAGGGATTATTTCCCCCTGAAAGCGATCCCCCAATCAACTAACAACCGGGTTCCTACTTACTGCTCGGTAAACAGAGGTGTGTGGAGTGAGGAAACTTGCCTAAAGGCTCAGCCTGCCCGGGAATCGAATCCAGGTCCTCCCGCTTGCGAGGCGAGCGCTCTAACCCAACATGTCACAGGACACCACGGGATAATGCTTGTGAAGGCAGGGCGGATGAGAAGAGGGATTTGGTGGAGAGTTCTGCAGAGCAGATGCCTGTCACTGATTATCATTAATAATTATCAAGCTCGGTCGCTGATGGTGCAGTGAGATTATCAAACACCTGTGGTGCGATATTTTACCACGCAAATCATCTAGTTTCCAACATGTCACCACTGTCTAAATCCCTCCCTGAACTTTTAAAGTTCTCCAGATCGGGCATTGCCTTGTTTGATTTAGACGGCACACTCAGAAATCCTCTGGCATCTAAAGATAAAGGTCACACGCCACATTTAATATCACAGGGGCCACCTGTCTACTGTGCAGATTTCATTTTCTCTCGGTTTAAGAACCTTAAAAAGCAAGCCACGCAAACGCATGTAATCCCAGCCGATAAGCGCAGCTGTATTAGGTGAGAGGTAGAGTGGTGAAATCTTATTAATGCAGCAGCTCGGGGTGCTTTTCTTATTGACCTGGTCTCCACCTTTAGATTTAACAATTATTTTATTAGGATCCATTAAATGATGCATGCACTCTTACTTTTGCTCTCTCTCTCTCTTTTTCCTCTGTCTCACTTTCTTTCAATAGCCACCTTTCTCTCTCTTCCCTCCCCACCACTCCCTTTTCTTTCTCTCTCTTCCCCTCTGTGTCTTTTTTCCCCCATCATCTCCTTTCTCTTACTTTCACCCCTCCCCACCACCTCTTGTGACTCCTTTTCGCTCCTGTCTCCACCTGCAGAGATGCCTTGGATTAGAACAAGAGGGCAATAATAATAATAATGATAATAAAATAATATTTGCATTTGATAAAGCGCCTTATCGGGTCTTTGTGACATCTTAAAGCTCTTCAAAGAATATACTGTGAAATGAATTCATTGTATATTTTGTGGGCGAAACGCAGCAGTCAATTGCATCCACCAGTGTCCCATGAATAGTCGTGGATTGAGTGACCAAATTATTATTGTTAATTTTTTTGAAGGGATTATTACCCACGGAAAGCGATCTGCCGATCGAGGTTCCTACTTACTGCTATGTGAACAGAGGCACACATGTGGAGCGCATTAAGGAAACTTGCCTAATGTTTCGCCCTGCCCGCGAATTGAACCCGGGTCGCTGGATTGCTCGAGAGGCGAATAATCTAACCGCTACGCTACAGGACTCCACAATGATAGCGGAGGGTAATGATCGCGCTCCACGTCTCCTGATGCGTTTAATCTGAATTTTTCCCTTCCCTTCCCAGTCCTGCCTTGTGCCCTGCGCTTTGAAAGCAGTGTTTCGCACATTTTGCAGCTGCGTTATCTGAGACGAATTTCTCAAAGTGGCTGACGGTGTGTAATCTCCGCGCTGGGTTTGATGTGCACAGCAGCGCGCTCTCCGCAGAACACATGAGGCAAGCGCTCTGGCCCTGGATGCTTCGACACGCCAGATCTGTGAGACAATCACCGCACAGCGGGTGTTGCCTTAGAGGCTCCAGACCAGCACCTGCCCCTCTCTGTACCTTGCGAGCACACAGCCTAGTGGTCACTGCCAAGCACACCCACTCCTTTGCCAACACCTTGTTATCTTTCCTCCAACATTACACAATGCTTCAGCTCCCCCCCACCCCCCCCGCACTCCGCCCCCCGAAATAAACAGCAGGACGCTTACTGAACCAAACTGGTCACCTCCTGCCTCCTGCACATTACAAGCTGAGTTGCATTAGCTTTACGTTCCTCAGCCAGTCGCAGTCATAATAACTTGTACGTGTTGAAGGAACAGAGCCCTGTTTATACTCTACTGACTATCACGTTTCATTGGAGTTTGGAGGGAGTGTATTCATTGAGATTTTGGTACTGTGTTGGGGGTGGGGGGTGGGGGTAGGGGGGGGGAGAGAAACCACGTCACACAAAGCTCTGTCTTCACGTTCAGCTGCTCGAAGGACAGGCAATTTTCTTCCTTTCTTCTTCGCTCTGCTGTGCGAGAGACGCTCTCTCCCACAATGCTGCTTCACAACGCCCTCTCACCCGAGGCTAACCAGCCCCACAACAGTCAAATGACTGCACCTCCTCACCGCAGTTCCCCGGGAGATGGGAGTTGGGGGTGGGGGGGTGGGGGGGTAGGGGTGAGGCTTTGTTCGGGGCTGCCAGAGTCAGCTGTGCGAAGTACTGAAGAGAGTAACTCGCGCGCTCTCTCCTCTCGTCCATGTCTTCCTTGCAAGCCAGAAAGTCCTGTTTCTAACCCATACAAATGTCTTCTGAATAGATCAGCCTGTTGTCGAATCTCAATGCGGAATAGGTTTTCCCTATTCAGCCCCTCCGCTCTTTGGAACTCTCTCCCCCGAATCCCTTAAGCTCCTTTGCCCTGTCTTCATAAGCCTCTTAAAAAACACATCACTTTAACCGTCTCATTGTCTTCCCCTTTTGAAATGAGTTACATTAAGCGGGGAGGCGGGGAGCCCGATAGATAATAAATTGAAGCTATTGTTGCAGTGCTTGGTAGCAACGAGTAAGGCAAATCAGATGCTGGGGTTGTATTAGAAGGGCAATATTGAGACAAAATAGTGGGGGAGATCATTGGTTGCGACCGCACTTTGGACTACTGCGTGCAGTTCTGCTCACCGCAATATAAACAGGATATTGCAGCGATCGAGAGGATACAAAGGAGGGCAACCAGAAAGATTGAGGGGATGGACTACGAGGAGCGATTAGGTAAACTGGGCATGTTCTCTCTGGAGAAGAAAGGTTGTGGGGCGATATGGTGTGGTGTGCTGCCCTTTTACGTTTCAGCGGTGTGGAAACACCCCCGGGAAGGATTGGGGGGAGAGTGGCTGAAAGCACGGTTCGCATCGCGATGGTGGAGCGGAGGGGATAAGGGTCAAGCAGGAGGCCAGAGCCAGCCGAGCGGAGGGAGCGGGTTGTTCCTGCTCAGATGGAGCAAAAACACAGAAACCGCGGATCTCACTTGTGGTATTTTGGAACGGGATTACTTAATAAATCACCTAAATAGGGACTTCAAGGTCATCACGCTGACCACACCTACACCCCCTCGATTGCCTTCTACCTCAAGTATGCATGAAAATTGCTCCGAAATACTTTGATGCCAATTTTAATAATAATAATAATCCTTGCATTTGATGTAGTGCCTTATCATTACCGTTGAGACGTCTCAAAGCGCTTCACAAAATATGCTGTAAAGTAAATCGACTGTATATTTTGTGGGCGAAACGCTTTAACATTTACTTTGACTACGGTTTCCAGTTGGTAACTTCACAACTGCGATTATAATGAAAGCAAATGCTTGGAAGGTCAAATAAAGCACAAGGCTTGAAATTATAACTGACCGTTTGCGAGAGGGTATGTGAGACAACGCCAGATAAATAGGAATGAAAGGTAGTTCTTTCAAAGAGGTTCCTTGAGCTGCAGACACAATGGGCTGAATGGCCTCCTTCTGTGTTGTAAATTTCTATGTTTCTCTATTCACATACCGAAAAAACATCTTTTTCGAAGAAGAAATTGGCACGCGAAGAAACAGAAAATAGACACAAAGTGTGACAAGATAAATGTTTTCTCCAGAGACCTCACAAATCTGCCTTTAATCCCTTCGTGTTTTTTTTTTAAAATACTGTTTTGACCCCCAGAGGAGTATTCAATGAATTAAGGACACCTTTTTGACCAATTGACGACAGCCTGAAGGAGTCCTTGAACTCCCCTTCTCAGCCTTTAATGTTTCTACGTCCGACGTATGCACTCAAAAGAGGTTTCCTCGCTCCTTCTAAACCTGACCCGAGCCTTTGACATGCGAAAACATTTCCACTCAGCTTCACTGCACATTTTTCATCCACTTCACACCCAGTTTAGCCTTCACAAGGCCAAGTGTGAAAGACAATGTCGGCTCTCACTGCTCGGGACAGACCTTCTCTTCCTCGTATGTGTGGACCAGGTGTCTGCCCGACAGTGTTGAAGCAGGAGCACAGTTGGTGGACAGGGAGGACTCTGTCACCTCAACACAAGCATCACTGCATAATCTCAGGCCTTCTCTTAAGCAGGGCGAACATGAGAACATCTACAAAGTGCTTAAGAGCTTGGTCTTACCTGCTTCTCTGACATGACGTAGAGGTACCGATGATCCACAGAAAACGACATGTCGCGCAGAACAGCCCCGCTCTCCACCACCTGAATCGTCTCGTACTGCAGGGCGCCGTGAGATAGTCCGTCCACCCGGATCTGCGGAGAAATCAGAGAGAGTCACTGAGATCTATTGGCCACTTGCGTTTTTTAATTGTCTACCCCCTCAGACACACTTCCACTCCCTCCAACTTCCCTGCCTCTTCCTCTGAAGGTAAATTGGTGTTTATCTGCATTGCTGTGTGCAAATTGGCTGCTGTGTTCGCCTACGAAATACACAGTCGCTGCACTTTACAGTACATCCTGTGAAGCGCGTTAAGACATCCTCTCAAGGCGCTGTACCAGACGCCAAGATTATTATTATGTATTTATTATGTACTATGATGGCAAGGTGCTGACTTCAGCAAGGTCACTTCAGATGAAAAACACCCATCGACGTATCCAATCTCATCCTTCCAGAATACCCATTCTTTCATCACAACATCAAGCCAATTTTGAAATGAGTACCAGTATCCTGGCCTCAACCATCCTTCCCAGTAACCCTGTTCCAGTGATGAATTACTCTCCGGATAAAGAAATAGTGTACTTCCTAGTATTTGTAATGAAATTGCCCTTTGCAACCCTGAGCCTGTGTTCTCTTGATCAGCTGTTATTATAATGGTCACGAAAATGACTTGTTCCCAAAAGTACTTGGAGATGGAATAATCCTGGGTGGATTGCAGCCAAATCTCTGGAACACCTGCCGGGATGTTGACTCCTGACGCGATAAGGCGCTATATCAATTGCAAGGATTTTTATTATTATTTTTATTATTGTAATCTGTGGCTGGCAGATAGACACAACAACAACAATAATAATAGTAATCCTTGCATTTGATACAGCACCTTATCCCGTCGTTGAGACGTCTCAAAGCGCTTCACAGAGTATACTGTAAAGTGAATAGACTGTATATCTTGAGGGCAACAAAAGTGCAGCAGCCAGTTGCGCACAGCAACGTCCCACAAACAGTTGTGGATTGAGTGAACAATGTTTTTGTGTGTGTGTGTGTGTGTGGGTGGGGGGTGGGGGGAATTATTACCTCCGGAAAACGATCCGCCAATTGACCAAAAACCATGTTCCTACTCACTGCCAGGTAAACAGAGGCGTGTGGAGTAAGGAAACTTGCCTGAGGGAATAACGAAACACAGGGAGACGTGTGCAGGAGAACATTTTGCAAAGCAACACTGACAAACGAGGTAACGGAGGTCAGTTCACTGATGAAACATCCTGCATTGCCCTCCCCGCTATATAATTGGCAAATCGTTGGCAGTGGACTTTCGGTGGTAATGATCCCACTGCTAATGACGCCAATTAGATCGCAGAGGCTGCTTTAAAACTGATGGCCTGAAGGCAGGGGGTCACAGGCTTGAACCCCCTCCCCCCCCCCACCACCCAACTGCTGGCCACTTTGGGGGAAAAGGCTGGCCTCAAACTGCATGTGCTGTGACCTCTGGAGCCGGAGGTTTTAGTCAACAAGGTAAAGCCATGTCCCCGAGCTCCCACTGGTGGATCAATGGGTAATTGCACCGCGCTGGGTGCCACAGAACGACATGGGTTCCAAACTAGTGTTGAGTTAGCCGATCTGAGTCGGGACAGGGTCTCAGGGTATCTGCAGGATTATTATAAATGGCCCCTGGATTATGAGGGTGGAATCCCACTGATTCCCTGCCCCCACATCCCCCCACCACCACACACACACACACACACATACACACGCGCTTTAGCTTCTGATTTCTTCAGAGAGACAAATCTCCCCCACCTTTACAACTCTGATCGTCACGTAAAGTAAAACTCACGTGAGTCTCATCAGTCGGGACCGTAACACATAATATGACTTACCGAGTTACGGGTAAACTGTATAAATCATATAGAATTCGATTTAATCAATAATCTGCACTGCGCATGCATAATTCAAAGTGCCGTTTGTTACACTTTTCTAAGGCTTTTTTTTAAACTAATTCTACTGATTAAATATCAGTGAAACATCAAGTGCAGAACAAGCAAGGTTGGACATAAAGGGAGAAACATTAATAATAATAATCCTTGCATTTGATGCAGCGCCTTATCGCCTCGTTGAGACGTTTCAAAGTGCTTCACAGGATTTTACTTTTAAGTGCAGTGACTGTGTATTTGCAGATTGTGAGTTCAAAATCCTTTCCTCACAACCTTCTGACTCAAAGGCAAGCGTACCACCAACTGAGTCAAGCTGAAGCCTGTTTACATTTATTATGGATAATATCGCTGTTAACTTTGTGTAAATGTGACTCGTGTTTGCACGTTCCGAGACGAACACTTTCTGACAGAATGTAAGAAGTTTAATGCTAATGATAGGTTTTATCTACTAACTGGATACCTTTGTGTACGCAGTAAGCAAACAAAATCTATCACAACACAACAGGCTGAGCTGAAACCTGGGCAATTAAAATCGCCAGAAATTATCTGTGTAGACACTCTTCGCTACATGTTCAATTGTGCTCTCGTGTTCTGACGTAAGGTCATCGACCTGAAACCTCAACTCACTTTCCTCTCTCCATAGACGCTGCCTGACCTGCTGAGCGACTTCTGTTTTTAATTCAGATTTCCAGCATCCGCAGTATTTTGCCTTTTGTGCTCTCTGCCGGTTTGGATAACTCTCGTACCTCCCAAAGCGGTGGCAATTTAATAGTGCCAATTCCGAAATAGCCATTGAGTCAACACTTGGCATAATAAGTCTGATTGAAATATCTGTTCCCATTGAAAAAAACGGTAACGCTACCTTACAGACAGTTTTCTTCGGTGAATGATCTATTCGTTTTTTGTACACAGAAAGGTAATTGACTCCTCGTGTATCGATAACTGAGGCTAACTCTGATCTCAACATCCTACATTACTGAACCCATTCCATTACAACCACATCCCCTTTGTTCCCTCTGTATCATCGAATCCGAATAGATTAACGCCATTCCCACTATTAACCACCTTGTAACACTCTGCTTTTAAATGGGTCTATCCTTTGGACCAGTCCTGGTACACTCCTGGACTGGCTGGTGACCCGTGCTAAATAACGTCAGACTTATGGGTCATCAATTTGCCGTTGTCGCTTCCTGTGTGCTGTGCCTGCTCGCTGTGTGCTGAAAGTGCCGCGAGCAACATCAATCCCTTTCAAAGTGGTGCCTGAGGGATTGTACCCAGATGAGCTGTGTTTTGCACTGCAGAGAATTCCAATGAAACAAATCCCTTCACGTTCACTCTCGGTTCAGTCTTTATCTGCTATGTTGGCACTCTTTGAAACCATCTTTCAAAGAGTGCCAACGAAGCAGATAAAAGAGTTTGGTCAAAACCGACCTCAAAGAGCTTCACCCACAAAATACACAGTCAAGTCACTCGACTGTGGAGTCACTGTGAAGTTGCTTCAAGATGTCTCAACGATGTGATTAGGCGCTGTATCAAATACAAGATTATTCTTGTTATTATCTCAGTTTGCCTTCTTCCTTCTCCCCTTGTCTTCACAAGCGTCTTGAAAACATAGCGTGTCTTTGGTGAACACTTTCAAATCTCCTCCCTGCTCAGTACTCCCTATCGACTTGGTGAAACACTTGGGAGAGATCGGTTTGGTGTGAAGGGCACCATGTAAATGCAGTTGCAATTTCAAAAGGAGATAATTTCTAATGACCGTGGTTTGGACCTAACCCTTTCTCATCGACTCTGTGCAAAATCCCAATAGAGCAAATCCCTTTCACTGATTCCCATTGTGCTGCCCAACACGCACTCAGCTCCAGTTAAGACAGGATCGTAACAACAATCCTTACATTTGAAACAGCGCCTTTCACGGCGGGAGGACGTCTCAAAGCGCTTCACAGAATACACTAGCAAAGTGCAGCGACTGTATATTTTGCAGGCGAATGCAGAAGCCAATATGCGCACAGCGATGTCCCACAAACAGCCAGGTTTGGGAGTAAACACGGCTTGAAATATGCAGGTGTTGGGACTTGTTGCCTGATAGATACAAACAGGAAATATCTCTAGATACTGATCACGTTTCACTCAGGATCCAATAGACGAGATGGTGTGAAAGAGCACAAGGGAGTATAAGAGAGAGAGAGTACAAGAAACTGCAAGGGTGCGGAACTGGGAACAGGATGAAAAGGAGGATAATAGAAGACAAAAGAGTGTGAGGAAAGGTCAAAAGAATATGAGCGAAGGGGTTGGAAGAACAAGGAAGGAAAGATAGTTCCTTCCTGTCTGATTTGCACTTTCACTATTCGGTCCATTGGGTCACAATGTGCGTTAATGCAGGTGGCCGGTTGGGTGGGGGGGGAAAAGCTGTGTGTGGGGCAGGAATAAACAAGCAAATACATCACTTGGGCACTCAGCACTCACTCCCTCCTCCCCAAACATTCAGATTGTACACAATTTACATTTTAATACCGACTCAATGTTATAGGAAGTGAAATGTAATGGAAATGATGCAGAGAAGAATGATTCCCGATTCCGAATAATCTTGGGATAAATATTGTTGGGATAAATATTCTCGTGAAGCTTTGAGGGCTTGTTTAAAGGCAGGGAACAGGAGGAGCTTTGTGTGCTCGTACAAACCACCGATTATATTGGGAAACGTGAGTTAAGCTGCCTCCTGAATAGCAGAAAAGTGTTCTATTTGTGTGCCTGCTGCCTGATACTTGTGGGGGGAGGGGGTTAGATGGTATCATCCAAATCCCCTGACAAGATTACTTTCTTGTAATCCTTCTCACTAACCCGTTATTCTCCGTTCTTGGAGCCCTGTAGCGTTTTGGTTAGAGCACTCGCCTCGCAAGTGTGAGGACCCGTGTTCGATTCCTGGATAGGGCGAAACCTTGGACAAGTTTTCTTACTCCATACGCATCAGTTTCCCTGACAGTAAGTAGGAACCCAGTTGTTAGTCGATGGGCGGATCACTTTTATAGGAGGTAATAATCCCTGTTTATAAATAAATAAATAATAATAATAATAATTTGGTCACTCATGACTGTTTGTGGGACGCTGCTGTGCACAATTGGCTGCCGGGTTTTGCCACAAAATATACAGTCAATTCATTTTACGGT